AAAATTTGTTTAATTATGAGTTTCGAAAAAATAAATAAATTGTATTTTGAAATGGTTTTGGGTTTATTATTTATTTTAAATATTTTACTTTATTTTTTAAATATTTTTTTATTTTATTTTAAATATTTAATATTTTTAAATTTTAAAAAATTTTAAATCGCCCATATATATCTAAATCATAACAAATTATTTAGCCAATACTTAAAAAAATAACAAAAATTATTTTCAAAAAAAAATATATATATACACATAAGGAGCAGGACCAATAATATCTGATTGTCCTAAAATCGTCAGGGAATGTGAATGTTCACAGCATATACCAACAGCACAAATAAAATCTGACTCAAAAAAATAATTTTAAAGAACAAAATAATAAAAAAATTGAAATTTTTTTTAAATAAAATTTTGAAAAAGTTTGGCTATGGGTTTTGAAAAAAATATTTGAATTGAGTTTTGAAAATTTTGTTTAGTTATGAGTTTTGAAAAAAAAAAATTAAAATTTTCTTATCCAAATTATGATTTGAAAATCAAACCAAACGTTACCTTGAAATCTCTAAACAATAAATAATTGACAATAATTAAAAATTTTAAAATCTCCGAATAATTAAAAAGCAATAATTAAAAAATCTAGAGTCTCCGAACAATTGGGCTTATAGAAGAATTGGAGCAATAAATGATTCGGTTACAAGTATGTACATAATGGGTTGTTTTGAAATATGGTTAAATGTTGATTTTTTTATTATTATTTTTTTGATTTTTTTTAAAAAAATTATATAAAAAATGTGAGAGATGATATAATCTAAAATAAGTTAAAAATTAGAAAGTGACTACTTTTCAAAAGAATCCAATGTGTATGATGTTGTACAAGGGTGTTTGGGAAGTTGTTATTTTAGTAGACTATTTTAGTTTTTAGCTATTTTAAGAGACTAAAATTTGTGTTTGGAAAGATAGTTGAATTTTTTTGTAGTTAGATGTGATATTTATAAGAGAAAAAGTGAAATGATTAGAGGTTTGATGTGACATTTTGTCTTATTGGCTATTTTATCCTATTTTGGAGTGTTTTGAAAAGTTGGTAAAAAATTGATTTTTTGATTTTTTTTAATCTATTTTATCTTTTTGTGAGTAAAAAATGTGAGGTGATATGACCCAAAATAGGTAAAAAGTTAAAAGTTGACTTTTTTTGGTACTTCCCAAAAAACCCCTTTGGGAGTGTTTGGGAATTTGATTTTTGAGTTTTTTTATTTTATTTTTTTTCACTATAAGACAAATGTTTTACAAAACTAAAAAAAATAAATCCAAACAAAATATCACATCAAACTCCATAATCATTTTATTTTTTCTCTCACAAATAACACATCCAACCATAAAAAAATCCAACTATCTTCTCGAATACAAAAAAATTTCTCCAATAATATCCTACAACTAAAAAAACTACAAAAAAATCCACTTCCCAAGCACCCACTTTGTCTTTTAGTGCTATTTTAACTAAAAAAGCCAAAAAAGCTACTTCCCAAACGCCCCTTTAGAAAACAAACACATATCAAGATGACTTTTAGGCCTTGTTTGGAAACATACTTTTTAAGTAATTTTTTAATTTTTTAGCTAAAATATAATGTTAAAAAAATTAGTATGTTTAAGATAAATTTTTAATTTTTTACAAAAAAATATATATAAAAAATAGAGAAAAAATAAAATATTTAATTTTTTAATATAAATTATTAATATTTTAATTTTTTAATAACTTTTTAATTTTTAAACTAACAAATAAAATGCTAATTTTAAAAAATCCTTCTCCAAGTAATTATTGCTTGGCCCCACAATAGCGAGACACCGTGGTCAACACAATTTTTGTCAAAAAATTTGAATTGGACTTGCTTCAGTACAATCAGAGGGAAGTTCGGCCTTTGGTTTGATTTTGATAAAAAAAAATCCGGAAATTTTGTTTGATTTGTAATTTTTTTTCAAAAAAATTTTAAAATCATTTTTTTTTTTACATATCAATTAATTATTTTTTTTTCCTCTTCTTTTCAATCATTTTTTCTCTCACATACATCTACTCAATTACAACAAAATATCAAATTATTTTAAAATTTTAAACTCTAAAACTATTTTCAAAATATACAATTAAACAAATTACAAAAATTTCTAAACTCTTTTCTTAAAATATTTTTTAAAAATTTATCCCTCAAAATCAAATCAAACAAATGCCACTTTTATGATAATTTTTGAGATCGTCTCCAATCCCTTATGAAATTGGATTGGTCCAGTTCGTCGTGAGGTTTACCGTGAGTATCATTTTAATTATGAGTCATGTTGGCTTACGTGTACACTTTTGTCCAACGCCTAAATTCTCTTTTAGACCTTATTCTTTTTACACTGTCCTCTTTTATGAGTTTTAATTTAGACTCATATTGATAATTTAAATTATTTATTTTATAAATTTCATAATAAAAATTATTCATATAAAAAATTAACTTCATCAAACAATTATAGACGTGAGAATAAATTACATTTTATTTTGTAAAGTATATGGTCTAAATTTAATTATATTTACCATTCATTTTATTAACAAAATATAATTTTTTTTTTATTTATAATTTTTTTAAAAAGTTTATTTTTTACATAGATAATATTTATTGCGGGGTTTACGAGATAGATGGTGCGGATTATCGATGTGAGATTGGATTGAAACCTACAAGAAGAGTATGAAGAGGTATGGAGAGATGAGATATGGAATGGAGCTTATCCCATTGTACAATAGGTCATGTGAGAATTAATCACTGTGTTTAGTTTAAGTTTTTTGAATTAAGTTTTTTAAAAATTGAGTTTTTTGATTTTCGTATTTTTTTGTTTTTAGTGAATATTTTTTAAATTTTAAACATTTTTTTACTTTTTTAGATACACCTTACTTAGATGTATCTAAAAAGTAAAAAAAAATTAATAAATACATAAAAATATAAAAAATGTACTGAATTCTCGTATTTTTTTATATTTTTGATATTTAGTGAATTTTTAAAAAAAATTTCACAATTTTTTTACTTTTTAGGTATATTTATGTTAGATATGTCTAAAAAGTAAAAAAAAAAAATTGCTTAAAATATTAAAAAAAAATTAGTAAAAACAAAAAAACACAGAAAATAAGAAAGTAGAATTTTCTGAAAAGTGTTTTTTGAAAAACCTAACCAAGCAAGGTTTTTTTATCCAACACTATTGAAAAAATGTTACTAATTGTAAATTTTTAACAACAGTTTGAAAATTGTCACAAAAAAATCACTAATTATAAATTTTAGCGACAATTTAAAAAAATCGTCACAAAAAAGTTACTAATTTTTAATTTTCAATAACAGTTTGAAAATTTTAACATAGGAAAAGTCACTAATCGTAAGTTTTAGCGATAATTTATAAAAACCGTGACAAAAAATTACTAATTGTTAATTTTTAGTGACATGCAAAAAATCGTCAAAAAAATTATTTTTAGCGATGCTTCTACTAGACTTATTTTCGATAAGACTTGATAAGAATTAAATCCAACTATTAGAACTTATTAATAATTTATCCTAAATGTTAATCAATTATAAGTTTTATGTATATAAAATGTAAAGTATTAATTACAAAATATTGTATATATATTCAAAAGTTAATAAAACAAAAATGTTAGATTTCAAAAATTCTATAAAATTTCTATCATAACTTTTGAAATCTCTAGCATTCTTCTTCATAAAATAACCAAACATTAAATGCATCTAATTAAAATGCACAAGTTAAAAATAGAAAGTTAATGAAATAAAGATCAATTAATACAATTATTAATATACTTTAATAAGTGCATCAAGACACTCGTAAGTATTAGCCTTTAATTATTTAAATTATTCATTTTGTAAAGTTGTGTGCAAATTATTCATTAAAAAAATTATATTAATCTAATAATTATAGTAACATGATTTTAACATAGTTATTATAAATAAAAAAAGAGAGAGAATAAAATAAATTTATAATACTTAAAGTATGTGTTTCTTGTTATTTTTAATCCTTAATTTCGTCCTAAAATTTTGTAGTTTGAGTCAATTTGGTCCAATTCTAAACGGGCCTTCTAAATAGTAAACAGAATGGTAATAATACACATGATCCTAAAGTATGTGTTAGTGTTACGTTGATCCCTAAAGTTTTTAATTTTGTCAATTTGGTCCTGAAATATTTATGAAGAAAATAAAACATAACCTTGCAATATTGAAGGACAAAATTGATCAAATTGATACTTTAGGGACCAAAATAACACAAAACATATACTTTGGGGACCATAATTGAAATTTATAATTATTCCATTAACAATTTAAACAGCTATTTAGAATTAGACCAATTTTACTCAAATTGACAACTTTGAGGGTCAAAATTAAAACTTAAGAGATTAAAATAACAAGGAAAAATATATTTTAAATACTGAAATTGTCTTTTATTCTAAAAAAAATAGGCAGTCTATTCTGAAAATCACAGTTTTTATTTATTTTTTTAAAACAAATTATCAAATCAATATAAATTTTTTTATGAATAATTAATCTTATAAAATAAACTATTTAAATTATTAGAGTTGGACGTATAATGAACTCTGCAAACCTCTTAAGGACCGGGACACAAGTCGTCCCCTAAGTTTTCTGTAATTTGAAATTTTTCTTATAATACTACATACCTTTAATTGTCTCCCTAATTCTACTTTTAATGACGTGACCCACCCCTATATAAAGTGATTTCACACTTTTCTAATGACGTGACCCACCCATATATAAAGTGGTTTCACACTCTTCTTCCTCTCATCATTAGGAATGAAATTGGGAGAGTAAAATTAATGAAATTGGGGGAGTAAAATTAAAAGATGAATCATTATTCTATGACAAAGAGCTATTAGGTGCTAAGTTTCTACCTTTAACCAATCAATATCTCATATTCACTCTCAAACACCAATATAAATATATAAACGACACTATCTAAGGATACTACCATAGCAATAACTTTCTGGGTATGCAATAATTGCTTCCATATATATATATATATAACAACCATAAGGGCAAAGCAAATTGACACAATTGCTAAAGCAACCAAAACTAGTCTTTTTTCTTCTCTAGGTTGTGACAAACCAAACCTATATATCCCTTCTTATAGCAAAGTTTTTGTTTGGCAACATGATTGGAGTTTTTTCAGTAGTAGCACTAACCCTCTTGTTAGGAGGAGTACTAGCTCTGGTTTTTCCTATTTTTTGGTACCTTTTTGCCAAACAACATGTACAACCCTCAAATATACCTAATGGAAGCATGGGATGGCCCTTTCTTGGAGAGACTTTAGGCTATCTAAGGCCTCATAAATCCACCTCTATGGGTACCTTTTTAGAAAAACATTGCTCTAGGTGATTCAGCAAACCCTTTTTTTTTTTTTTTTGCATTTGAATTTATATTTTTATATGACAGCTTAGGATTATCAATTTTTTATTTTCAGATATGGGAAAGTTTTCAAATCTCATCTTTTTGGATCACCAACAATAGTTTCTTGCGATCATGAGCTCAATACCTTCATTCTTCAGAATGAAGGGAAGCTATTCCAGAGCAGCTATCCCAAGCCTGTCCTTGACATCCTTGGGAAGCTATCAATAATGCTCGTCTCCGGCGATCTCCACAGAAAGCTGAGAAGCATTGCTGTCAGCTTCATCAGTGTGTCACGAACGAAACCCGACTTCCTGCATTATGTAGAGAAGTTGTCTACCTCAGTAATGGAGTCATGGAAGGCTCATCAAGAAGTTACCTTCTACAAAGAAGCTAAAAAGGTGAAGACTTCGTATTAAAGTTTTGTGTCTGATTCTGTAATTAATTTTCATTTTTCTGTTAACGTGCAATGTCTCTAATTCCTGCTTTTTTTTTTTCTTTTCTTTTTTTTTTTCTTTTTTTTAAAAATTTTTATGAACGAATACAGTTTACATTGTATGTGATGTTGAAGTATGTGTTGGATATTGAGCCAGAAGACCCCTTAGCCCCAAAAATACTTGAAGACTTCCTTACTTTCATGAAAGGGTTTGTATCCATCCCAGTATATGTCCCAGGGACTCCTTATGCTAAGGCTGTCAAGGTATGATATATATTTAGAAGGAAAAACTGTGGATGCATTTATAAAATTCTGCTATGAACACATAAATTGATTACAAGATCAAACACAGACTTGTTTGTTTACTGTCACAGCCGTTTCAAGCAACTCAACAGAGTCTGACATGTGAAAACTAGTAATGCTAGTACAGGAAAAAAAAATCATAGAAATGGACATTTTTTTGTACACGTAGCATCATTGCGTTAAACTGTGGATGTATTTACACAATTTTGTTATGAATGTACAACATTTTACAGGATTTATTAGTGAAATCCCCTTCTAAAAAAATATATATTTGATCATATACATTTTTTGCTTCAATTCTGTAACTGGTTTCTTAGACTTATTGTGCATTTTATAACATTTATGGGAATGCAAATTGTTAAACTGACTGGCTACATGTTCTCAGGCAAGAGCAAGGCTATCATCCACTTTGAAAGAGATAATAAAAGAGAGGGAAAAGAGGGAGGTGGGGCATGTGAAAGGAGATTTCTTGGATGAGATTATGCAGAAAGGAAACTTGAGTGATGAGGAGAGAGTGAGTGTTGCATTGGACATTTTGCTAGCAGGTTATGAAACAACCTCAGGGCTTTTGGGCCTAGTAGTCTACTTTATTGCCCAGTCACCTTCTGTTCTTCAACAGTTGAAGGTAATCTTCCGACCATCATCACCACTGGATCCTTGTCCCCAACTCCCTCCCCCACCATATAATTATTTACGTGTACATAATTCAATTATAAAATCATACATAACTCTCTTACTTAAGATTGTATCTACACATTTGGTAGAGAAAATCTAAATACATAAAATATTTCCATGTGAGACACAAATGTGAGACAAATGTAGATTCCACGTATGGCCCTCACACTTTTGTATCACATCTGTGTCTCATTCAAAGATGTCACTGCCATATCATTCTAGTAGAGAATTCTATAAGAATAATATTTTCTGAAAAGTATTTATTATACAAAATAAACATGCGAATTAAAAGGTATTTTGATAACTACTATTCAGGAAGAACACCAAGCTCTAAGGAGAAGAAAAAAGGATGGAGAACCACTGAGTTTGGAAGATTACAAGGAAATGGAGTTCACCTCCTATGTAACATCTCATTAGTCTCATTTTACCGTTTCTTCTTTTTCTTTTTTTCCTCTTTTGTACTTCTTCATTTTTTATAAATGCAACTAACATAACAAAATCACGTAGGTCATATCTGAATCTCTACGATGTGGGAATTTAGTTAAATTTGTGCATAGAAAAGCCCTTCAAGATGTCGAATTCAAAGGTTTTTAACATCGAGCTAGTTTTTTTTTTTTTTTTTTTTTGGAATTGCTTAGATATATATATATATATATAAATTATAATAACATCCCTCTAATGTTGAGCTGGTTTTTTTGTGGCAGAATTTCTCATTCCTGCAGGATGGAAGGTGCTTCCGATCCTGAGTTCACCACATCTTGATCCATCCCTTCATAATAATCCTTCACAGTTTGATCCTTCAAGATGGGCTGTATGTACTTTTCTGCACAAATCAAAAAATTTATACAAGATGATTAGACTGAATTGGGAACTTTTCATTTTTTAAAATTAAAAATTTTAAAAAAATAAAAAAACCACCAGATGCTTTTTAATCATTATAATTATGCATATAACTTTTAGTAGTATGGATTTGAGATATTGTAGTGAATAGCACCATCTCTTTTAATGATTTTCTATAAATTTGATCACTTCATACTTAATACAAGTAAGATAATTAACTAAGCTTGAGATAACTCAATTACTTTATAAATTACTTTATATTCTTTTGTTTTAATTCTTCTACATTTAAATCTTGATAGGATTCAGATCAAGCAATTTCCAAAAAAGTGTCGCCTTTTGGTGGTGGATTGCGGCTCTGTCCAGGGACTGATCTTGCTAAGGTGGAGACTGCATTATTCCTCCATCATCTTGTCCTTAATTATAGGTAAGAAAAATAAATAATAATAATAATAATAATAATAATAATAATAATACATCTTCTTAATTGTTTTTTTGTGTGTAAATAAGCGATTCTATTATATATATAAGACAAGAAAATAAAAGAAAGACCTAGTCGATCTCATATGATTAACACTAGCATCTAATTTTTGTTGGGTTATGCATTTCTTGTCTTAGGTGGAAAACAAAAGTCGATGAATCTCCAATTTCTTGCCCGTATCTGGATTTTAATAGAGATCTGCTGCTGAAGATAGAGCCAATAGAGAACAGAACGTGAAGCAAATTGAGAGAAAGTATATCAGCAACACGTTGGGAAGTGGTCAATTGGGATGTCTAGAAACTTGCCCTCCGGTTTCCCTCCGGTTTCTTACAATATATGTAGCTTTAGTTATGTTCTGTAGAGTAGAAAGTTAGAAATAAATGGATAGTATAGGTATGGAGGGATGTGATCACTTGGTGGCTTCTTACTCTGGCTGCCTTAGAGTTAATATTTTGTACCTCTTCTTATTTAATAATATTACCCTTTGTCTTAAAAATTAAAATATTAATTTCTTAGACTATTAAATGCATAATTGTTGGAAAAAGAGAGAAGATGAACAAAAAAGATGGGAATTTAAGTATTTTATATATTTTTAACGACAATGGATTGGCAATATTCCTTTAATAATGTAGGGAACAAGTGCATTGATATTTGAGATAATCTAAATTTATTTTTTCTCTAAGACAATCCCATATTTAACTATCAATTGGGAGAATTTTTAGATTGTACACCCTTTTTAGATTGTTCTATTTGTGGTTGAAAAAAATTCAATTGATTTTCTAAAATATGTAAATGAGTGAACGAATAAAGGCAAAAAAAGATTAAGACAGAGAAGAAAGAAAAAAATTATAGCACTGGAAGTCAGGGGAAAGGGTTTGTGGACGAGGGATCGGGTTGGTGAGGTGAGGCAAGAGTAATATTAGGGATCATGAAATAAATATCGTGAAATGCATCATGAAGATTTTTCATCATTTGATTAGTGTGTGGTGTTTTATTATATGTGTAATCTAAAAGTGGAGAATCTTTCATAATCATTTTCTTGATATTTTTTTCATAATTCCTAACATTACTCGTGAGGCAAAAGGGAAAATGAATGAGTTATATATATATATATATATAGAGAGAGAGAGAGAGAGAGAGAGAGAGAGAGAGAGAGAGGGCAACAAGGTTAGGTTGGAAGGTCAAAAGAGGTGTTGGAGTGAAGTGATCGGAAAAAAAAAGGGGAATGAGAGGTAGGAGGTTGATTGCAAACAAGATAGGAGAGGGTAGGGAAAGATAAAATCTTGCCACTGTTGTTAGAGAGGAATGTCGACAACAATACAACCTTGCAGAGAATGAAGGTAATCAGAAGAGTGTAATTTTGTAATTTTATGAAAAGTTCCCATTTATTTACAACCATTTGCAACTTCTCATGTACAATATAATTATATTTTGTTCATTCCATCCGATTAATTACATTATTATTTAAAATTGGTTTACAATTATGTCTTGTTTCAGCTTTTTAGAGTCAATTTATGACTTTTAGCTTTAAAAAAGTTATTTTGGACTGTTTGGTTAAATTTATTTCAAATAACTTCTGATTCTAACAGTTTATTTTAACTCAAAAAAACTAATTCTGAAAAGCTGCTCACCCCTTGCTTCTAATTATTAGCTTCTGCTGTGAATATGTTAATTTATGGTTATACTCTTAATTTTTTTATTTTTTATTTTTTATTTTTTTAAAAATAGAAAAAGACTCAAATGGACTATAGATTATTATTATTATTTTTTATGAGAAATGTAGACAAACAAAAAATAAAAATTAATTGAAAGAGCTATTTCACAGCTTATTTAACAAACACTACTCAGCAACTTAAATCTATAATCCAACAGTTACACCAAACAAATTAATAACTTTTGATTAAAGTCATAATTTATAATCTGTTAAGGTATAATCTATAAATTGTTTTAACAGTTAGACAAAACGGGCCATTATCTAATGCTTCTTCTAAATGTCTCCAAGGAGAAGTTATTCAGTAGTCTAAGCCTCCGTTTGGGAAGTGGGTTGACTTTTTAGCTTTTTGACTTTTTTAACTATTTTAATTTGGGCTAAAAAGTTTGGTTTGGGAAGGACTTTTTGACTTTTTTAACTTTTTTTATGAGAGAATAGTGTAATGATTATGGGTTAGATGTGATATTTTATTTTTTGTGGTTAAAATAACTTATTTTGTCTTTTATAACTAAAATAATCAAAAAAACTCATTTTAATTCTTCCCAAACGAACCCTAAGTGCAAGACCAACCGGTTCTCTAATAGGACAGGCATAACCAACAAACAAACAATCGGCTCTAATCGGCTCAAAAACTAGAGGAGCCCATAGAAATGTACCAATTTTAGTAAAATCACTAGTCTAACGAAATGACTATAATACCTTGACCAGGACAGGCATAACCAATTGTAATGGTCCAGCTCCACATCGTAGCTCTGTCCCTGAACCAGCTAATAATTTTTCCTCTCAAAACAATCTTAAATAAGCGTGTCTCTGTCTCTCTCTAGAAACAGTGTGTATCTTGTTCTTCATCGCCATTGTAGCTGAAATGTCATACGACTATCTATTCAAGTACATAATCATCGGAGACACAGGTTCGAACAGTTTCTCGATTTTCTCGTCTTTCGATCGAAACCCATTTCCCTAATTTCACTTGGGTATTTGTTCGGTCTTGAAAATTGTGGTATTTGTGTGCAGGTGTGGGAAAATCATGTTTGTTGTTGCAATTCACCGACAAGAGGTTCCAACCAGTTCACGATCTCACTATTGGAGTCGAGTTTGGTGCTCGCATGGTCACCATTGATGGCAGACCAATTAAGCTTCAGATTTGGGACACTGTAATTTCTCTACTATCTAGTATACATACCTTCTCTGCTTTCAATTGAACTTGTTTACCCTTCAATTCATGTTACTGTTCCTTAATTTATTACTTAATCTGGTTGTTATTTGGCAATTCTGGATGTTGAATTTACTGTTTTCCATGTTGGTATTACATTTTTGAGATAAAGCTTCAAGATTGGTAAAGTTAAAAAGAGTGATACTAGCAAGTGTATCTATCTGGAAATTGGCTTGTTTAGTGATTTTTTGCTTGTACAGAAAAAAACTAGAGAATGATTTGACAATTTGTAGTGGTTTTGGTTTTTGGATAAAAATTAAGGTTTCCAAACAAGGCTTTAATCTTTTTGCACTTAAATTTTTTTGAAAAGAAAGAACAAGGGCCTCTTCAAGTTCCCAAACCCAAAGTGAGGACAATGACTCAATGCTTCTGGGTCATTTGATATACTCAAGTCGGCCATATCCAATCCTTGAGTTGCAGGCGTGACTAACTTGGGCCCTTGCTGGTGTCAATCTTGCTCTCCATTGTATTCAGGGACTCTTTCTCAACAGCATTGGATTGTATCCTAGGTTAGTTAAGACGTGCCCAAAATATTGTGAGGGAGAAATAAGCATTGTTGTGTTGTATATACCTTGTTCTGATGTTGCAACTGTGAGAAATATATTCCTTTAGTGTGAACAAGAGGAGGTCCCTAGACATCAGTATGGACAAGAAAAAAAAGGGAAGCAGAAATAGAAGTACTGTTATTAAAAGGTAAAGCTGTCATTTTAGCAAGTTTACATGCTTGGCACTCATTAATTTGACTAGGAGAAGTTTTACCTAACAATTCTGATTGAGTTAAAGACCGCAAGTGGTCAACAGACAAATGACCTAAGCGAGAATGCCATAAATAACACTGACTCGACTGAGAATCTAACTGAAAAGATAAAAGTGCAACGGGGGAGGAAGACAGAGGAAGATGCAGACTTTCCATCACATAGAGATCTCCAACTCTACGGCTGATCCCAATCTGCTTTTTGGAAGCTAGATCCTGCATACAACAGACAGAAGAAGAAAAGATAATATCAAAACCAAAATGATCAAGCTAACTGATAGAAAGCAAGCTAATAGACAGTTGAGGAACATAAAGAACAGAGGGAATAGTAACAACGGACATGGCAGAAGGTAAAACAGACCCAACAGATAAGACAGACATACCAAACCCATTAGCAGTATTAATAGTAATAGGGAAGGGAGGGGAGATACAGTTTTGGAGTAAGGAAAGGTGAGGAGTCATATGATGAGAGGCACCAGAATCAAAAAGCCAGACAGAGGAACAAAATCAGAAACATAGCCCCATTTTTTCTGACCAAGAAGGAAATTCTTCATGACACTAGCCCAGTAAGCATAATTGGCACCGGTGAGTTTACATCTAATTGCTTGGATTTTGGTGTCTGTCATTATAATAAATCAAAGATTCACATGTGGAAATATAATAATGACTAACAATTAGGCCAAACTGTAAATAAGAGTTTTGACCCAAATAACAATACTGAGAGAGTCAAAGCCACGAACTCAGAGAGAGAGAGAGAGAGAGAGATACAAACAGAGTAAGGCAAAGCAGAGATTGACCGAGTGAGGCAAATCAGCACCACTTTGATCGCATGAACCAAGGTTCGAACGAGAGAGTTCAGGCGAACACGATCGTGTTGATAGAGAGAGAAGCTTCTGATGATCATGAACCAAAGTCGATCGACCAAGAAGATCAGATGACTCGACTCCAATCAACGAAGACGAGGCACGGCGTCGACTAAGGGATTGAAGCAGCAACTGAACTAATGTCGTGATGTGAACCAGAGAGAGATCAGTCAAGAACCTGTTTCAATGTCGCGATTGGAGGAGAAGATCACCCACAACACACGACTGAGAGAGAGCAACAGTTTCTAGGATTTTGGCTCTAATACCATGTGAGTTTTCTGAATGGTTTTCTGTATATTCAATTGTGTATCTTTACAAGGAGGTCATCAGTTTATATAACCTTAAACCTATGATGGAAAAAGGAAAATACGAAAAAGGAAATACAGCCAAATAGTTACACCACCTCAATCTTTCCTAATTCTATATACAATACAATCTTCCCTAATTCTATACACAATATATTTCTCACAGCAACATCAGAGGGTCCTAACTTTCTTGTTCGCTCTTCTAAGTCTTCAAGTCTCTGGCATGGTTATCAGAATCCCGATCCGGATCTTATGATCCTACGATCTTACGATCCATTTGAGTACAATCGATCTGGATCATGTAAAAAACTCCTTATAGGTAGGATCTTTCAATCCTAGTAGTGGGATCTTATAGGATCGTGGAATCCCGATCCGAATCCGATCCAATTTATAAGCATTGTTTTGTATTGTATGACATATTTTGTTATAAATTTTATGTTTGTTGTCTAAATACCAATTTATGTCGTCAAAATAAATAATAAAAATTAAGTAGTATTGAATCAAATAGACTAAGAAAAACAAACTATGAAACAAACATTCAAATATTGGCGTAATTTAAGAAAATTAAATAGTCGGAAAAACAAACTTAGCTTTAGCGAAGTCTAAGAAGGGTAAGATGATTGCAACTTTATCCCAATTACTGGAGAAATTATTTTTGTGACTCGAATCCGTTCCACTAGGGATGCTAACGACAAACCTTATCATTCGACTAAGCCACTCTTTTGAATTCTTAATCTATTTTCATTTCCAATTTTGTTAAATATTTTTTCTTCACTTTTTATACATTATTGTACATTGTAAAGTATTTTGTTATAGAATTCTTCTTCTTCTTCACCTTCTTTTTTGATAAAATACATAACTTTCACCATCGGGTTTTCTATTGCATAATATTATATGTACATTTTTCATGGAGTATTATATTTTTCACAATATATTCACTTCTTTTTAATAGAATATAGGTTCATTTTGTGTATACTTTATAAGAAATATTTATTTAAATTAAATTATTATGTACTTTGTCTTTTTCGGTAGGATCTTACAATCCTCGATCCGATTCTACGATCCGATCCTATAAACACCTCCAATGATCCAACGTAGGATCCCGATTTTAACAACCTTGGTCTCTGGTTTTGTTGTCTTTGAGACAATGATAATTGAAGCATAACATAATAATATGATTCTCTGATGAAAATCATGATATCTTCAGGCTAATGTTTCAGTCTTCAAAGAAAGGAACACTTGAGGAAGAATTTTTTCCTGCCAAATGTGTAAATTCTGAAAGATATCGTTTGCTCTACTCTATCTTCATGCGCAATGATTTACTGGCCCTTCACTCTTACTTGTCTGACTTGTTTTGATGATCAAACAACCAGTAATCTGTAATTATATCAGTGAGCTCAAGACCATAAAATGGTGGCTGCTCTACATATATATTTTGCATCTTGCATTTGATTCTAGTCTAGACGTATCTCTTCTCTTTTTTTTTTTAAGTTTACCATCCGACTCCTGATTTGTTCTTTGCTATTGATGTGGAGATTATTAATTTGTGAGTCCATTTTGTTCATATTGCCTGCTAGATTCTTGTTGTTAGTATTTTGATTCTTTATTGTTTGATAGTAAATTGTAGCTCTGACCTTTCAATTCACCGTTTACTCTGCTCTTATAGTAGTGTTGTGTATCGTTGTGTTCTAAGCTAAGAGCCTTCCTCTATTTCAGGCTGGGCAAGAGTCTTTCAGATCCATCACCAGATCGTATTACAGGGGAGCAGCTGGGGCCCTTCTGGTTTATGACATAACCAGGTATGCACATTTGTTTGTGATCAAACATCTCTCTGTTTGTGCGTGCACCTGTGGTCCTGTGTGCACGTGCACACACAATTATATGTGTGTGACTGAACATTGTGTTCCCAACTTCTGATTAATGTATTGATCCCCATATGATTCCAAGTCATAAAATTAGGATTTATTCAAGTATGAACCTGCTCCCATGCAGTTGGGACAGTGTTTCCATTTGCATAACTGATCTTCAGCCCTCTCTCTCTCTCTCTCTCTCTCTCTCTCTTGATCAACAACAAAAAAAACTTTATTGATAAATCAAAAAAAGGAAGCGAGGATGAGACATCCTCTTACAAAAGGACAATGAGAACATAAAAAATGAAACTCCTAACAAGCGAGGATGACACACCGCCAACCAATCTCTAGCTAACAAAAAAAGTGAGACCCCCTCAAATAAAGAGCTCCCCGACATCCAAAAAGAAGTTAAGTGACAAACATTATCCCACAAACAGCCCACTTCCTTGGAACTTATCTTCAAACAACCTCACATTTCTCTCTATCCATAAAACCCAAAAAGTTGCGAAGACGGTACAAAACCATAGCATTTTGGCTCTCTTTGATCCTCCAAATGTGCAAAAATCAACTAGGAGCATATGCGTACTCCCTTTTGGGGCTACCCACGTAACATTCCTCAAAGAAAACAATCTATGCCATAAATTCAAAGCGATTGGGCAATGCAAGAATAAATGATCCACGGACTCCTCATTCTTACAACACAGAATGCACCACTTAGGATTTAGAAAACAATTAGGTCTCCATTTTTGTAATGTATCATTTGTCAAAATGCCTCCATGAACCAAGGCCCACATGAACACCTTTATCGTTTAGGCAAGCACAAGCCTTCCAAACTTTTTGCAAAAATGAAACTGAGGAACATGAGGATTGTCAATGATGTAATCAAAAAAAGACTTACAAGAAAATATTCCGGACGAATGAAGAGCCCAAATCCTCTTATCCTCCAAAAGAGGGGATAAAGAAAAATAATCAATTCTGGACAATAAAGAAGTCAATTGTGAAGCCTCCCTATCATTAAGATTCTTAGAAAAATCAAAATTTCAAGAAATTAGAGCCAAAAGTGAACAAGCCATAGAAGCAATTGAAGAATTATGAGATCGAGCTACTCTATATAGACGTGGGAAATCAACATCAAAAGATGATTGACCCATTCAAACATTCTTCCAAAATCGAACAAGTTCCCCATTGCCCATCTTTACAAAAAGATGACGAGACCAACATGTGAAAATTTGAAAAATTGACTTCCAAGGAGCACGACAGTTACCCCTCAAAACCACCTGTGAATCCCTACCATTGTCATGAGTCCCATATTTGCTTCTTATAACCGAATGCCATATTGAATCAGTCTCAAGTGAAAATCTCCATAATCACTTGCCAAGAAAGGCCATGTTCCTAGCCAAAATATTACCGATAGCCAAACCCCCCTTCTCCTTAGGTGGCGACACTAAATTCCAATTCACCAAGTGATCCTTTTTCCCCTCATCCTTGCCTTCTCAAAGAAAATCTCTCATCAACATTTCTAGTGACCTTGCCACCTTAACTGAAACCTTGAACAAAGATAAATAATAAATAAAAATATCACTCAAAACAGCCTTAACCAAAGTGTATCTACCCCCATGTGATAATAAAGCCTTACTCCACCCTTCCAATCTCTTGCCAATCCTTTCCACCACTGGATTTCAAAAAGCTTCACTCCTAGGATTACCCCCCAATGGAAGACCCAAATACTTAAACGGAAGTGACTCTATACCACATCCTAAAAGTGTCGCCCTACTGTTCTGAAGCTGATCTTTTTGCATATTAATTCACACCACACTACTTTTTCCCAAATTAACCTTCTTAAGCCCTGAGATAACCCCAAAAAATCTCAAAATCAAATAAAGATTAACTATCCAACTTTCATCCCCTAAAGAGAAAAATATGGTATCATTTGCATATTGTAAATGTGTCTTGCTAACTTTATCCCTCCCCACCTCCAACGCCACAAAATCACCTGTTTCTTTAGCTCTATCGACCATCCTTACCAATACATCAGCCACCAAAATAAAAAGAAAATGAGATGGTGGGTCCCCTTGTCGTAGCCCCGGGAAGCCCTAAAGCAATCCCCTGGTTTACCATTAATTACAACTGACATATTGCAAGTCGATAAACATCCCCTAATCCAAGATCTCCTCCGCCCACCATATCCCTTCTTGTCCATTACAAAATTTAAAAACTGCCAATCTACATGGTCATATGCCTTCTCAAAATCTATCTTAAAAATAAGTCTCTTCCTTCCTAAACTTCTATATTACTCCATTTGCCACTAAGGTGATATCTAAGATTGTTTTCCTTTCACAAAAGTCCCTTGCGCCCTAGACTAAGTATCCCCTAAAGACATCATTAGTCGTTTTGATAAAACCTTCCCCAAAATCTTATAGAGTGATGTTACCAAACTGTTAGGCCTAAAATCTCCAATTCTTACAACATTCACTTTCTTAGGAATTAAACAAATGAATGTGGCATTTGAGCTCAAATTAACAACCACTGACTCATGAAATTCCAAAAACACTCTTAATCAAATCCTCTTTCACCACCTCCCAGTAGTCCTGAAAAATAGCCATGGAAAAACCATCCGAACCTGGAGCTTTGTCCCTCTCACAATCAAAGACTGCCTCTGGAATCTCTGTTTCATCAAAAGGCCTTTCAAGTCATGTTGCAAGTGCCTGATCAATGGTTCCTCACTCAAGTCCTTCAATCCCCATTCTATTCACCTCTTCCTTCGAATAAAGCTTAGAATAAAAATCATAAATGCCACTGACAAACTAATTTTTCCTTTCCTCCACTACCCCTGGGCTTACTTCTAATCTTTTGATGAACTTCTTCTTCATTTTCCCGTCTATAACCTTGTGAATTTTTTTTTAATTAGCATCCCCTTCTTTCAACCATTGGATCTTTGCTTTTTGAGCCCAAGAAATTTGCTCCTTAAAAGTCAACTCTTCCAATTTCAATCTCAACTCAGATCTTTCCTTCCTAAATGACTCAACTCTCTTGCGACTCCAAGGCATCTAACTCTTCTATTATGCGCATCACCTCCTTTTTTGAAGACTCCAAAATCCCTAAAACCTCCCTATTCTAGCATTTCAACTTCTCCTTGACCATCTTCAACTTTCTCATATATTTAAAACCTTCCCATCCATGACAACTAGTATTGGTCCACCATTCCTCAAAATTTCGTTTAAAAGATGTTTGCTCCGACCACATGTTCTCAAATCTAAAAAGCATCGGTCCCCTTTTTAATGGACAACTTTCTATCGCAATAGGACAGTGGTTTGAAACTAATCTAGGTAGCGATTTCTGTTTTAAATTGGGAAAAAACCCTTCCCACTCCATGGAATATAAAAATCTATCCAGTCTGCAACACACCAAATTTTGTTGAAGATTAGACCATGTAAATCTTGTATCACACAAAGGAGGATCCACCAGCTCACACTCTCTTATAAACAAGTCAAAGTCCCTCACTCCCCTAGTCATTCCAATCCCATTAAGTTTTTCTAAGACCTTTGTTAAAATCCACCTACTCTCCACCTACTTCACCCACTTAAACCTACTCCACTAAACCTAACCCACTACACCACTACCACCTCACCTACTCCACTAAACCTTCACCACTACACCACTACCACCTCACCTACTCCACTAAACCTTCACCCACTTAAACCTACTCCACTAAACCTAACCCACTACACCACTACCACCTCACCTACTCCACTAAACCTAACCCACTACACCACTACCACCTCCACTTCACGTACTCCTCACCTACTACACACTCACCCTCTCCTATATATAGGAATCATTGTAACCATAACATTAAAATCAATAAATAATACATACAATTTATTCTCTCTCTATTTCTCTTTATACATTAAACTCTACATGGTATCAGAGCAAGGTTAAGACCTTAGTATTTCTCGCTTCACCGGCGGGCGGCATGGTGAACACAATCCAAATAATCTATATAGCTCCTCCCAAAAATCCTTTCTCCTAGAAGGCCTGTTAGGTCCATAAACCCCAGTCAATCATCACTCTGTATTGTCAAGGTTCCTAAACCTAACTGATAGTGAAAACCCCCCACTATAGTTTCACACTCAGAAACGACTCTCTCATCTCACAATAACAAAACTCTCCCCGATCTACCAACTGAAGGCAAACAAGCCCATCTCCTATGTCTAACACCACAAAGACTTTGCATGAACCTCTTATCCCACACTTCTACTTTAGATTCCTGAAAAACAACTATGTCCGGTTGATGACTCCTTAGAAAATCCTTAATAACACTCCTCTTTTTTCGAGAACCCAAACCCCTCACATTACAACTAATAATCTTCATAGGGAAAAATTTTCTCCCCTAACCTCCTCTCGTCTCCTCTCATAATTAACTGAACTTTTTAAATTTCTTAATTCCCTTACCCCTTTTTTACTACTTTCACCTTCCTTTCTAACAACTTTCTCCCTCGTGGACCTGTTATGCATCCTAAATGGCCCAAATGTGCCCTTAATTTTAACTAGTGACAATCCCATGACCTGAAGTAATTGCATGAAATGAGGTACCTCATTCTTCTCAATTGGGCAAGGCTCATACTTGCTCAACTCCTTCAGCCATCGCTCCGTTTCCTCCTTCCCTTCACTAAAAACCTGGTCCCTCTTGTCAAAATGATTACCTAAGACCCCACCCTGATTGTCATTCACTTGACCTTAAGAGATAATAACATGTAAGGATTCAAACACTATGAGAGACTCATTCACAGTGGCCCTCGGGATTTCAGAAGTAATCCCTTGTACAACAATATCAACTAATGAGACTTCACGAATAGGTCAAAAAGAATTGGACAGATGAAGCAAAGAAACCCCACCCCTAGCTCCTTCCCCAGGAAAAGAAGAGTCTAGAATAGCTTGTACCTCCTTATGAGAAGATGAAAATGTTAAATCTTGGTTAAAGAAGGGACTGACCTAATTCAAAGATTCAAAAACCTTTTCAATATCTTCTCCCTCAGTAGTACAATCTGCATTAAAAAAACTATTGAGGTCCCACTCATTATTGGCTTGCTCATCCTCACTGATTTCCACTTCAGATTTTGACTCTGAACTCTCAGATGATCCATACGCCTCCAGATTTTTGCAATACCTCATGTATTTCAAAATGACCCTCGTCCACCTTGCGAATCTGCTTTTCTGACCACCTCCATCAAATCCTCAGCCCCTTCTTCTGGCATCCCATTTGATCTCTAAAAATCCCCTTCTGACCAGTCAACCATGTCTGCCAACCGTAATTGTGCTTCCTCTATATTCAAATCTCTACGAATGAGCGACAATAATTGTAGAGCACGATCGTCTGGTTGTGATACATCGCAGGGTGGGAATCGACTCCTCTCCTCAGTCGCTGAGCATCTTCAAAGTTCCTCATCTCCGACTAACTCAGAATCTGTAACCCGTTTGGCCAAAAGACCCTAATTTGCTTGTCTACCCGAACCCAGCCCTGAAACCTCCATTGGGTTGGGAAGAGAAACCCTTGGGCATGAATAATAGCATCAATTGGAAACCCATTACGAGTTGGACCCTTATCCTTGTAAATTTGAATAACATTTGGGCCTAACAGTTTCAGTCCACCAACAGAGTTATTCTTACTTGAAACAAACAAATCTTGGGCTGAGCCCACTCCTTGGCCAGGCCCATTAATATGTAGGCCCCCATACTGACTGCCCCTTCCTTTCGTCTCTTACTCTTCCTCCATTACCGTCACCCACCTCGATCAAATCACCCAACTGCCTTCTCATCTCCATTTTGCTACGTATCGGGGCTGTCCCCCGAGACTCCTCACCTTCCTTTTCCCCGACACTGAAGTCGCCTGAAAACCTCCATTGCCGATGAACCTCCCGTCTTCCGACAGGCTGATAGAGCCTTCAATTGAACAATAGAAATATCATCGAATTGAACACAAATAGTTGTAGGTAAGAACCCATTACTATAGCCTCTGGCTTTCAATCTTGCCTCAAAGAGATTTTCGAAAGTTCTGGTTCTATGATCCACCTCTATCAAACCACCACACTTCGACCCAATCCATTCAAAAACCCTGTCATTCTAGAGATTAAAAGGCAAATCACAGACAGAGACCCGGCCTCCATTTGAAGCGATGACATTGACACAACTGTGCATCTCCTCTGACCAATTTTCCAGCCTCACTCCAATACTCTTATCAAAGAAACACACTCCTTGAGCACCATAGTAATCAGCCTCCTCAATGCTTTTTGCAAAAAGCAGAGCCTTGTTTAATTGAAAAGGCCTTGGAACAATTGAAGCTTTAAACGATCGATTTAATTTCTTCTCAATCTGTGCCCGCTCATTGAAGAAGTAAGTTCTGGTGCATACCACCACCTTGCGCATCTCCAAAACAGAGTTGCTGCCTCTCAAACTACCTAATTTAGACTTAGGCACATCTACATATGAAGCTCCTGTGTTTGCCCGTGTTTTCTGATGAAGAATCATGTTCACATCTGTGTTTCCTCTGCGAGTCCTTAATAAAATTTGGTTACTTCAATGTTGTCCTCCCTTGTCTTTAGTCCTCATCTCTCTTTCATCATCCTTAACCCTGGAGTCTACATGGATAACTCGTTCAAGCATCTTGGCCATTGCCAACCACCCCTGACCATTAACCCCTGTCGGAATGATAATGTTACTTGTTTTTACCCCAGCCTCCCATTTCGACATCTCAACAAAGACGCCCTTCTTGCTGAATTTCTTAAGACAAAAAACTGTTGAACTACTTGTGTACTTGGTGAAAAAAGATTGATCACTGCGCTGACCCCAAACCTGTTGCAAAGCTTGTATTGCCCAAGAGACACTCCCCAAATCTATCTTCATAGTGTAACTTCTGAGTCGATTCCTCTCAATGATCTCCACTAAACCTTCTTTGGTTTCATCATCCACCTGAATGATAATAAGCTTCTGTTCAATTCGTAACTCTGAAGCTCCCCCGCTATAGAATCTCAATCTCTCTCTCTCTCTCTCTCTCTCTCTCGCATATTCTCGATTTTGGTTTTCTATTATCTTTCTGCTTGCTCACTCCATGCTTGCTCTCTCTCTCTCTCACACACACACACACAGAAGGACCCCCAGAAACATATACAAGTGCATGGATGGTTCTTTTGGTCTTAAAGAATCTAGACGTAAGGAGGTAGTCCCAGACCAGGCAATGCAGAAATAGGATGGAACAAGCATTCATATGTCGGAGTACTTGTTTCCCAAAAAAGAATTTAGTGTTGTTGAGTAAATTACAGATGAGTAGGGGTAAATTGCCATAAATTATCCTTATTTACTTGCGCATACACAATTTAAGTTACGTTTTGGTACATGGGAACTGAGACCTTAAAAGGTATTTACTCACCAGGCAATGTGCATCCAGCCTAGAACAAGCATTGATTTGTTGTATCTGCGAATTGCACAACTGAATAAGTATCAAGAATAGATAAAGTAAAAGATACATAGTTATGCTTCTATATTTGGTTAATGGAGGACCTGGGCAGTATTGATTGTCCACATGTTTCGGGTTCTTGTTGAATTCAACTTACTTCTTGTCAATCTGAGGAAAAGCTCTGTATGCTATTATGTGTACGTATGGGTACATTCCTATAATCTGTCCAAAATAGGAATTATACTTCTGTGCCTGCATATCGAGGGTTGTTCTGTGTATGTGTCCTTCGATAGACCTAAAACTTCTAGATTTTTAATGTAATCCATTATGATTTCTAATCTGTTGCCCAGGAGAGAGACATTTAATCATCTGGCAAGCTGGCTTGAAGATGCTCGGCAGCATGCAAACCCCAACATGACAATCATGCTTATAGGGAACAAATGTGATCTTGCGCACCGAAGGGCTATCAGCAAAGAGGAAGGGGAACAATTTGCAAAGGAAAATGGGCTTTTATTCTTGGAGGCATCTGCAAGAACTGCCCAAAATGTTGAGGAGGTAAAATTACTTGCCTAAATTTAAACTAGGCTCTCACTTCATAATGCTTATGTTTATAAGGAAGCTCCTGCTGAGCTGAATGTCTTACAGGCCTTTATAAGGACTGCTGCAAAGATACTTCAGAAGATCCAGGAAGGCGTGTTTGACGTCTCCAATGAGGTAAAGTAGGCATCATACGCTTATCAGCACGTTAAATTTGAGCATCGGGTCTGTTCTATGACTGCACATTATGAGCCCAGAATTGTTATTTGAAAACACGTCTATCCTTCGACATCTACAAAGTGCATAATAAAACAACTTTTCTCCCATCTTCTGTGTGTAAAGGTGTCCAATGATTTGGAAGTCTGTAATCAGGTAAAATGTCCTAGGCCTATTGATGGGGAATTGAAAGGAATTGGTTGAAGCATTTGGGCATAAGTAATTAGTTTTGATAATATTTTTCAATTGGTATTTATTTTGTTTTTGGTAACCTTTTAGTTAGGGTTTCTTGAGCGCTTATAAATAGATCATTATATGAATATGTGTAGTCAGCTTTGAGAATATTATTGAGTGACCATTTGGGTTAAAGTTGTAGCCCTTTTTTTCTTCTCTCTTATTCTTTGTGAAACCTTTGATTTCCCTTTCGGATCAATTCTCCATATATTCTGGTTTTGGGATCAATTGAATAATTGAACTGATTTCTTAATAATTGTTCGAAAAATATATTTTTGATGTTGCATTACTAAATTTATTTGTTTTTCATTTATTTATTGGTAATTGTTGCAGTCGTCTGGCATCAAGGTTGGATTTGGGCGCCCTCAAGGTCCATCAGGTTCAAGAGATGGAACAGTTGCTCAAAGTGGTGCATGTTGCGGCTGAACTGAAATAGAACAACATTTGTTATGTATCCTACCCTTTGTGCATTTTATGTCTGCTTGGTCCATCACCTCAATGAATTGAGCCTTTCAACTATCTTGCAACTTCTGGTGAATATGATGAAATGTACAGATCATCCTGCAACTGATTCAATTTTACCATCACAGTTCGCAGAATTAATTGTACTCAGTGGGGTGAATTTGTCTTGCGTGTGTTTGAAGATTGTCCAGTAATGGCTGTGTAATACTGTATCTAGTTGATCAATTTTATTGATGTGTGTATGTTTTAGTATTGAGAAATGAAAAAGAAATGCTCTCATTGGTATTGTTTGTTTTGGTATTGAGAAATGATTCATAGTAAACCGACAGAAAAATATCCACAAATACACAAACAAACTTCGGCTTCTTTATCTTGAACCCCCTATCTCATAAAATTGGCTTTACCAAATATTGGCAACAACTTCGAAATATGGATGGACCTTTGCAGTGATATATGATCATTGATTCCAGTGCATTAATCAATTGTACAGTACAACTAGTTGAAGCACTGCATTGTCCTTTCAGAAATTGTTGTTTCATAATTCAGATGGTACAAGTAAATTATCAATTGACTAATCAAGCTACATATAAGTTCTAGAGATAAAATAAACAATTATCTTTCTCACAGAAGCAACCAATAAGCAAAGAAATCAAACCATGAGGTAATTTGACCTCAATATCAAACTTCAAGAACCACCAAACACCTGCAGGGTTATATGGTAGAACTTGAATTAAAATTTTTGTTTAGGGGTAAAAGAAACAGAGTACAATGCTATAAAGAAAAAGACACTCACTCCAGCCAGAATGTCTCTTGAGAGCCTAGGCTTGCTTTGTCCAGCACTAACTGGCTTTGTTTGTGGGAATTGCCGAATGACCTTTGGTGCCTGTTTTTCTTGTGGTAGCTCAGAAGTCATCCCTGACTCTTGTTGGAGCTTTCGCTTCTGCAGAATCAGATGAAACAGAACATATGGAATTCAAAAAAAATTCCAGGAAAAATAAAATAATATATATATATATAGAACTGCAAGCCACAGGACAGTAGATTTTTGTTCAATAGATCATGAGAATCAACCAAATTGCAAAACCAAGGCCCAAGGCATATTTGCCGTGAATTTGGTGGCTTGTTTTACCTTGTAGACTCGAAGTATACCTAGATATTGAAATTATGAATGAAAAATTATAAACCCCCATTCTCATACTCAACACGGGTTTTGATAACAAATTTTAATGACAGATCTCATTTTCTCACCATATGCCTAGGCAGTGATTTGTAGATGAATGATAATTTTGAACAGAATTTCTTATGCAGTGAGCTGTGGTGAAGTTGTGACTTGACAACAAAAGATGCTATGATGTTCAAAACAACACAATTATTCAACAGGGTTGTAATAATAACCAGGTAAAGACACAAAAACTGTATACAGGTTTACAAAGAAAATGGTTAGCTAACTCCCTTATTTCTTTTTCAGATTTTTCCAGAGGATATAACCATTGTCATGTCTAAATATCCCAGATCATACTAAATTTCTCCATTAAACTTTATTTTACAAAAATAAAATAGAAATAAATGCATCCAGTAATAAGAAGACTTCAAATAGCAATGAACAATTAGAAGTTTGCAACAAGACAAACTGAAGGGAACATGTATAAACTTGTGGATTAGAAAAGGTAAATTTTTTATTACATAAAAATATAACAATAAAAAAGATAATTTTATATATAACTAGATACTTTGTAGGCAATCAAGGAAGATACTTCATTAGCTTATCTCTTGCATGCGAAAGCACTTATGCATACCTTTCTATGTAACTGGAACACATCTTGTGTGTTTGTTTCCAGTTCTATTTTCATTTGCTAGCAGTTCTAATTTCATGTCTACAAAATAATTGCTCCCTCTTTTCATTCAAATACCATGTCCGTATTTATGCTCAACTAGAGATGCTCTAAAGACACTATGGTTCATAACTTTAATCAAGCTGAGCCCCAGCTTTTGTCTGTCCTCTGGGCATCAAGTTCTAATGATGAAATCTATAACTATGAATTTTCAACTAGCTGCCAGAAGTTTTACTTTTACTTCATAAATAAGGAGATCTTATCTGAAAGCATTTAAGTTGGCTGGAATTAAGCCACTTAACCCAACTAACCACATGAACCAAACTACACACACAGTCTGCTCAACTGCTTTGGATGCATGAATCAAGCACCAGAGTGATTTCTTAGTTAAGTAACTGTCAGATAAATAGGTAACCATATATTTAGTCTTTACCTTCTTCATTCTTTCTTCTATAGAAATCAAAGCACGAGACTGATCAACTTTAGAGAGATAGAAATCCCTCTCCCTCTTGGCAGCAGAAATTTCTAATGCCATTTTCTGCTCCCGAATAGCATTCTTGTAAGCTGCAATGTTAGAAACATCTCAACTTTAGATGATGACCTGCTCAAGTGCCACACCACACCACAAAACACCAAAAGAGTAAAAAACCTCCATACCAATCTCCTCAGTAAGATCATCCCATTTGAATTTACTCAAGTACTTGATATTCCAAAGATCATAAAAGAACGCTGACCTCTTCCTCCCACCTAAACATGAACAAAAAAAAAAAATTGAAACCAAAAAATAAAAGAAAAAAAAAAAGAACTTCATTCCATAATGCATAATGTACTTGCTACAAGCCTACAACCACTTCGCATGTTTAACCCAAAAAAATGTTATCAAGCTCACAAAATAAAGGACACAAGGCACCAAAAAACAGGAGCCAACACAGAATCAATTTTAGACCCCAAGCATAGCCCACTTTGCCTGTTTCACTTAATAAAATAGCTAGAAATTCATCGTAAGTATAAAATTCAGGAAAAAAATAAGCTAATAAAGCTCAGATGAAAAAATAATCTACAATATACCTATTTGTTCACCATTTAACATCTTTGCAACCCTCTTGGCGATACTTCTTTTAGAAAATTCAACCCACCTGTACACACCAAAGGCTATTATATGATTGTACATTCGTAATAACTATGTGCCACATTGATATAAAACTAGAACAAAAAAAGTAAAGACAATGTCAAAATATTTCTCCTCTTGGTAAAAAAACACTTCACAAATAATCTTTTGGGGAGGTCAATGTATTGATTGTATGTTCGAACATACTATATGCTCTATGAAACTAAATAAACTGGATCTGTTCGGCATATAGCATTAAGCCATTAAGAAAGTTAATCACAAACCCTTCCGAAAATTCTACTCCTCGAAATCCACCAGCTCGTTTACGATGCACCTGAGCCACAGGATCTGTACATAAACTAATGTGAGGAGTTGAGTACTTCAATTGGTAAAGTACAAACAAGATAGCTACATGATACTGTATGACTTCAAATGTAAAATAAAAGTTGTACAACAAAGACACATGAACAATTAAATGATTGATGATCGCTTGCAAAGTTTGCATCATTTGGTTTTTAAAAAAAAAAGGTACTTGTGTGAACCTTCAGGTGTAAGGTAAATTCTTTGAATTTCTCCATACTGAGAGAGAATCTGTCGTAGCTTCAAAGGATCCATGTGTGGAGGAATCCGACTTAAGTAGCAAACCCCACGTTTGTCGGCCATTGCAGCTTCCTTTAATAACTGTCTCTTCCTTTTCTTCTTCCTATTTTCTGTCCTTTCATCGCTGGATTTCGGGTTTGCTTCCTCTAGCAGAGTGGTTTTATTTGCCTCTTGCTCTACCTCAACCATTCTAATTTGATACAAACAACATGAGTAAAACAAACAACTGCACTAAGCCCTTTGAAAAAACCACAAAATGATGCCTAACAATAAGGATACTAACCTTTAAAAGTATCAAATAACTACACTGTAAAAGTACAAATTCATATATTAACATGAAAGAGATGCCAATTACAGAAAAATCTAGAATTTTACGTAGGCCAAGCAAGCATTCACAGCACCCAAAGAAAAAAAAAGAAGATTTCTTTTGAAGCATATGGCTCAAAAGCTAAATAAAAACTGAGAAACAAAACCAATATAATCTCATAAAGCCAGTATCAAGCCAAGTACATATGAAAATAAAATTCAAAGACACATGAACCCATTTAAATTACATGTTTCCTTCCAAAAGCCAAATCAAGAAAGTGGATTGATCTGGCCAACCCCACATAGTTGTTACATCCTGGGCAGTTGAGATGGGTTTACTTGCAAATGTCCACTAGTTTAACATATCAATTTGACAGTGATACTAAGTGAAAGATTGATCTATCTAACCCTCAATGAGTTGCCTCCCAAACACTGAGTTAATCAATTTGTGCTGTTCAAACTACAATAATTTGACAATAAATTTTTTTTTCATTCAATTTATAACCTAGACTTTCAATTGCAATAATTGCAGTTCAGCCAGGCCTTTTATCAAACACTTTCAAAACATATGATTTGATAAAATAAAATTAATTCTTGTAAAAAATAGCAAACAAAGAAAGAAAATAAAGGAAAATAATTGCTTTTATAGTCAATTACGAACTACAAAACACCAAGATCGTACAAACCCCAAAAAAAAATATATATATATATTAAAATTAAAATTAAAAAAAGAAAAGAAAAAGGAATATGTGTTGAAGCTTAATCGCGCATGCATATATTTATATATGTGTATATTTAGATACATCAGTGTGTTTGTGTATGTAATGATTACCTGTAATCTTTGGTGGTCGTTGACAGCGGAGACGTGGCGGTTGCGCGGCCGTGGAGAGAGCGATATAGCTTATTTTGGGAAGTTGGTTAAAAGTAACTTTTTGACTTTTAACCAAGCTTTTTTGCTTTTTCAAAGTCATTTGGGAAATGGTAAAAAATGACTTTTTGACTTTTTTAGTTAATAATTTTTAATATTGTCATATCATCATGGCATGCTGTAAAATGACTAAAATACCCCCTTCCCATTTGCAATTTACAGAATTTCACTTACTCTCATTGTCTAGCTCCTTAATTGAATAAAATGGCTTGTGCATCTGGGAAACTTGTACACTGTGACATACATATCACAGATATGCAACGTTTTTTTTGTTTTTTTTTTAAATAAAATAAAATAAAATAAAAATTCAAAATATTTCATTTTTACCTTTAAATGTCTTCCATAAAAATAAAAATACAAATTGTATAAAAATTCGTTCAAACAAAAAAAAAAAAAGCCATTGTCTTATGATATTCAGCTTCCAGCTTCCCAAATGGGTTTTAGAACAAAAGTAACTCCTCATATGTAAATAAAAAAAAAAAAAAAATTGTATATATAAATCATCATAAAAATAAAATTAAAAATAAAAATTCACTAGGCCAAAACAACCCCTCATGTAACCGTATATATTATTCATAAAGATTGATTACAGCCGTAGCTTATGGCGATTTTGCAACAACACATTTCTAATGGATTTTCTAAATTCGTTCATTTCTATATCATCATCACCCGCCGGGTCAAGCTCATCATCATCACCAACACCCGCTGCGTTGGGCATGTCGCTAAAAATAAAATGTTCCGCATTAGCAACCATGTTGAATGCTTCATCTTCGTCTGAGTTGTGGCATATGAAATTATGTAGTGCCATTGAAGCCCCAACCAATTGCACTTGCACTTTCCCGAAATCATACCGAGGCATGTTATGTAGAAAACCCCAGCACGCTTTCCACACTCCGAATGTACGTGCAATTGCACTCCTTAACGAGGAGTGCACCGTGTTAAAAACTTCGTTCGCGTTGCTTGCTCGTCCAGTCACACGGAACTGTTCTTGGTGATACCGACATCCCTTAAACGGTGCAAGAAAGTCTTTCTGATTCTTGTACCCCACATCAACAAGGTAATACTTTCCTGTGTGTGTCTAAACAATTTTAATTAGTAACCTTTGTTTTTTCTTTTTTTCCACGCACTGATTGGGTTACATTCTATGTTTTGGTTGAACCCGGAGTAACATGGGCTGTAGATATAATTTTGGAAAGGAATTTGAAGTTAAGAATTGATTCTAATCACTGTTGGATGTGAAGGATAGAGGGCCCATAAATTAGAAGAATACCCAAAATTTACAAACTGCACTAAATCTTGCAATAATGTAGGAAGACACTAAGATTACATGAGTGATGTAGTCTTTGATCTCTTAAATGGTTTAGACCTTATAGTCTTTTATGGTTTTAAAGTTTGTGAAGACAAAAGGACATATAATGGGCTTTCAATGATTTTTTTTTTTTTTAGAATGGATGACACTTGGTGGATTATAAACTGCTATTTTTCTGGAAAAATATCTTCTTGAGGGTTTTCCGACAGCAATAAAGAGAAGTAGAATAACAAGGAGAAAGAATGGAAGCAGACAAAAAGCACACTCTTTGTCAACCAAACTTTTCAAACTTCATCAAATTACTGCAATATCATTTGGCATGGTAGCTTCAATAAGAGATATAACATAAGGAGGAGAATTTCAGGATGTAAGATAACTAACTTAAACCTTTGGAAAAAAAAAAAAAAACCACCAAGTAAAAGTTTCATGAGGCCAAATAATCATATAACATCTGGGGAAAAAATCCAAGTATTGAAGCTTGTGATAAACCACAAAACAAAAACAAGAACAAGAATAAAAACACACAAAGTAAAAGTTGTATGAGGTCAACATAATCAAATATAATTCCAGGCAATCCAAGTAGGTAAGCTTGTGATCAACGACAAAGGCAGGAGATTGGAGAAGATGACTCATCTCAAAGCTGTTTGGCAGTACAATGCCTACGTATGGACCTTCCTTGTTTATTACATTGATCTTTTTCAGCACATTATGAGAAATTAAACCATATGATCCATTCACAAAACCCAACAGAAGAACAAGACATCCCAATGACATTAACCTCATATGAGTATCCATCTCTCTGTCTCTCTCTGGAAATTGAAAAGCTTTGGAGAGCATTCAATGGTGGAGACACAGACAGATTTGTGAATCTAATCAATGTGAAATTAATAAAGAAGTATATAAAATTTGATTTGCACCATCTACAAAAAAAGAAAAACTACAATAGGCAACTATGTTTTTCCTGTGGTTGGGAATGCAGTTCGGTGGCTATAAATACCCAATAGGCCATATTTTTTTTTTTTTTTTTGGTGTAGTCCATAGATGCAACCATGTACACAAGCATAATGACTCATTGTCAAGTTCATGACTCATTGTTTTTGTTGTTCAGAAGCAGAATAAGCAAATCTGAAAGGGGTTTCCATATGTCGCAAGATTAAGAGCACCCGTAACAAAGTTCTAGTAAATTTTTTTCATAGCAAAATAAGGCCAGCAGAAGTAGTAAAAAATAAATAAATAAATAAACAGAGCACACAGCGGGTAAGAACATGGCAATCGGACAACTGTTTACCCAAAAAAAACAAAAGGAGTAGCAGATGGTAGTCAGAAAGCCAAATAAAACTTGTAATGTCATAAACGGAACTGAAAATTAACAGATCTATTTGCAATTTAATAGTTTCCAAACAATGGGTTGCAAATCACGGGTAGCAGACCACCGGCGGAGGGAAGAGGCTTACATGATTGTGTAGATCAACCGAGGAAGACGACCTGGTAGAGGGAAGTCGGTGGCGATGTCGATGGCCGACGCTAGAAGGAGTTTTACGCGGCGTCCACAGCAGCGGTGGAGCGGAGCGAAGACGATCTGAGAAGGAGAGAAGAACAAGAGGCGTGCGATGCGAATGGTGAAGTGTTTTGACTCTGAGCAACGATACTCTAAAGTGATTTTTTTCTAAAGTGCTACAGTGTATGGTTGAGATTTACTGGCAAGTCACATCAATTTTTCTGATGTGACTTGCCAATAAATCTCAACCATACACTGTAATACTTTAGGAAACTTTAGGGAAATTTCACTCTAGAAGATCCTTGGTGTTTGACTCTATCATAAAAATAAGTAAATTACACTAACCTCCCTGAGGTTTTGAAAAAATATTAAGAAATTCACAAATTTAATATAATTGTATTGATAATTTTTTTTTTTTTTGTGTGAAGATTTATTATAAATACACTTTATAAAATTTGTTTAAAATACATATTATTCCATGTAGTTTTAAAATGACACATCGCCCTTCATATTTCTAATCGTATATCCAATGACCTATTTTATTAATAAATCACTAATTCAATTAACAGTTTTTAATAATGTTAGAAATATATTTTAATTAACAATTTAGGTAATTTTATTATTGTGTAAAAGGTTAGTTAAGATTTTTTTTTTTTTAATTCTGTTAAATAAAAAATTTATAATTTCTAAAATCACAAGAGAAATTTTGTATTTTAAATAAATTTTAAGAGGTATATTTATAATTTACCTAAGGTTTAAGAAGCCAAAATTAATACAAATAGTGTGAAGACATAAAAGTAAGGGCTGGTTTGGCTTATCCTAAATAAGCCAAAAAGTTAAAAAGTTACTCCAAAATCCAAAAAGATATCACTATTCACCAAAAAAAAATTAAAAAATCAATTTTCTTCAAAAAAAAAAAAGTACACACCGAATTGATGTGTGTGCAGCTGCTGTGTGCGGCAGTGGTGAAAAAAGAAATGATTGGGTGTGATTTTTACACACACCGTTGTTCGTTCTATGGGGTCATCACGGGTCCCATTTTGATAATCTGAACCGTTCAATGTGTAGAAATCGTCGAGTACTATATGTTTGCAAAAAATCACATTGATCGGATATCGATAACTATATGATCAAATCAGTTATGTACAACAAATGGATGTCACTTCAAACCCAACCCATATTTCATAAAAAGTCAAAAAGTGCACTTATTTAGTCTTCTCAAACTATGCCTTAGTTTTCCAACTTTATTACTGTTGAATTCTATTGAGGACTTGGTGATATTTTACAAAATAAAATATGACACTTGTTGTATTTTCTTCTTAAAAAAGGAAAATCCTAATTTTTCTTTATTTTTTGATCGGCAAAGAAAAATTCCATTAAAAACATGAAATTTCAGGTACAAGGAAAAAAAACACAATGAGAGAGATTCGAAGAGTAAACATTCACTCTCCTACTACTGCTACTCGCGTAGCCAATAATTTCCAACTCCAATTGAGTCTACCGGTTGTACAGCCGGTTGTATGGCTGGGGCCCACTCCTCTCCTATCATCTCTTACACATTTTTTTTATACAATTTTTTAATACACATTTTTTCATAAAAAGTCAAAAAGTTAACCCAAATCTCCATATTTTTTTTTTGTCTTTTTTAGTCCAAAAAGACAAAAAGTGCACTTTTTTAGGACACCCCAAACCAGCCCTAAATAAAGTAAAAGATAACAATATCTTCTTTTTTTTTAATCTATTTGACTAATAAAGTACTAATGAAAAACACCTCAATATTATGTAAATTTAAACTTTATGGGAGTTCAATGTAATTATTTAAAAAAATGTGAAACTTATTATATTTTTTTCCAAATCTTTAGAGATGTAAATGTAATTTATCCCAAATTAATAGATTTAATTTAGCTTAGTTTTCCAACTTAATTACTGTTGAATTCTATTGAGGACTTGGTGATATTTTACAAAATAAAATATGACACTTGTTGTATTTTCTTCTTAAAAAAGGAAAATCCTAATTTTTCTTTATTATCAACGTAAATGATTAATAAAAGCATGTTTCAGCATAAATGATAAACATTTTCAAAAGCAAAAAACATAAATAAGAAACAAGTGACATGTTGACTTCATTACATACGATATTTATTTTTTCTTTACATTTTTTAGATAATTTCTTTTTTCTAATAATCTTATCCTTGTTTTTTACATATTCTAAAAAAAGATTCGAGTAATATTAATCATCAATTAATAAAAGACTAATATTTCATTTTGGACCTTCTGAGGGGTTATTAACATTAAAGATTAAAAATCTTAAATTTGCAGTTTTGATATAGTGAATTTTAACATTTTCATTTTTCAAATATATATATATATAGGGAAAATTAGTCTAAGGTCTTTTTTTATTTTTAGTAACGGAAGAGATCCACAATATTATATTTTGATGTCTAAGGTCCCTAAACTTACACCCGTATATCAAATCAAAGAAATTTGACTCTTTCTTCTCTCCGATCCTCTCTCTGTACTCCTTTTTCCTCTCTGGGTCTTCATCTCCGATACCGCCGACTTCACCTTCGCCTCTGTCTCTGCTACACCGTCGTCGAAATGTCGCGATCTAAGCCTCACCACCGCGATCTAAGCCGCGAACCACCATGATCTGAGTCGGATGAGGATGCCTTCGTAACAAGCATAATCCTCCTGTTCCAGCTCTTTAATGGAGTCTAGATATAGGCTAATGTTGTGCTGGGTACACTTGGTATAAATAGAAGAACTATCATTCCACATATAGAATTTGAATATCCTGATTCGGACATCTGTGAAGACCTGTACCAGCTAGTCAAATATTCATGTGGTGAAGTTTGTACGACTGAACAGTTGAATAAAGTCGTGAAGATTTGGAAAACCTTCTTGGAACTGATGCTCAAGGTTCCTTTTCGGCCTAAAGAGGCAGAGGACATGGAAGATGTCGTAAAGGATAAGAATCATATTTCACAAAGGGGTGCTGCAAATGTTGGAGAAAGTAATGGTAGTCCAATTGGTGGTACAACTGTCATTACTACAAAACAAAAAATCAAATCCATCCAGAAATGGAGATGAAAGTACTTCACCCGAACAATCAAGTTCCTGCCGAGTTTGGTTGATAAACAGTGATAATGGGGTTAAAGAAGATAGTCCTCATGATGTTGATCATACTATATGTAAAAGTGATACCTTACATAACACCCATCAACTTGGAAACGTTCAGAGTAATATGATTGTGGCTAATGAAACATTTGGGCTCAGCAGACAATGTACTTCAAACGAGCAGTTAGCTAATTCAAATAAATCATATTGAATTTTCTCTAGACTGTGTGATTTTTCTTTAGACTGTGTAAATTTTCTCTGGATGTGTAAATTTTCTCTGGACTATGTAAATTTTCTCTGGATCATTACTCTTTTTTTTCCATAATGTACGGATGACATATGTGTCCAGCTGGGGTTCTAGGATTGCAAATCATGCAGAAACAAAAGGCAACTTTCTCAATATATACATAGCATGTAAGTACAAAGCTTTCTCATTCCAATAGCTTTCTACTTCTTTATTTACTTTGATGAATGTCATATTATCTACAAAAAATGTGACATCCAAGATCCTAAATTTATATTGCAGATTTTTTAATTGAAAGGTGAACAGAAATGAAAGTAATATCAATTATGTTGTTCAAATCATGTAGAGTATGTGAGGAAATCAGATTGAATTTTCTCTAGACTATGTGATTTTTCTCTGAACTGTGGAAATTTTCTCTAGATGTGTGAATTTTCTCTGGACTTGTAAATTTTCTCTAGACTGTGAATTTTCTCTGAATGTGTGAATTTTCTCTGGATCATTACTCTTTTTTTCCAAAATCTAGAACACTGCATAATACTTTTGATTCTATAATCAGTAGGACAATCAGAAGTATTTTAATCACTGTAGAACCGTAGTCTGAGCATAATTCTAAGACATAATAAATTTGTGTATTTAAAAAAACAAAACAAACTAAAAAAAAAATTGTTTTATTACTTGCAGTGCTTAAAGAAATTCTTGTTCAAGCTCGCCCAATGACTTATTCTCTTTCTTGTCTGTCAACCACCTCAACTTATTGACTTAACCTACAAGGAGCATTGGAATTAGCAAACAGAATTTTGATGGCAACCTTCCATGAAAAGATATTTGTAAGAAAAATTATAAAATCCACAATAATGCAGAGTTTCCTAGATTGTGTGAATTTTCTTTACACTATTTGAATTTTCTTTAGATGTCTAAATTTCCTCTGGACAATCTAAATTTTCTCTGAATGTCTAAATTTTTTCTGAATGTTTGGAGAGAATTTCTCTAAGAAGTCTAGAAAAATTCTCTAGATCGAAATTTCTCTGAATTGATGTTGAAAGACCTTAGACATTATGAAAATATTAAGTGCCCTTTATACTATAAAATCTTAATATAAAAAACCTTAAAAAAAAATCCCCATATATATATGTTAGTCAAAAATAAAAATAAAAAGTACAACTATGAGAAATTATTTAAGGCTAGTTGGGCTTAGACGTGAGAAAAATTCATCTATTTGTCTCGTTAATATTTTTTTCAAATTTGATTCAAAAAATTAAGGATAATATTAATGACCACTCAATAAGGAATTGATAATCTCAATACAAGTGTAAAAACAATACATATATATATGTATATATATATATTCCCCGCACCTTAAATGACAGCTTTTGAAACTCTTAACAACAATCAATTGAAGAGAAAACTTACACTTAAAAAAAAATCTAGAAAATTTATTAAAAATAAAATGTATAATGTAAGTTCAAAGTTATTTGTGATAAGAATTACACCTAGAATAAATTGACGTAATACAAAAACATTTTCCTAACATGATGCATACGATATCCGGACCAAAGATGGATAAACTTGGATCTACTGACAATCCTGACTCATAATAAGACATCATCTCTGAAAAAATCAAGATTAAACTAATACATAAATCTATCAAGCAATTAATTATTCGAGTAATAAACTGTTCAAAACGAAGGGTACAACCGAAAAAGAATTGATGGGCCATGCCATCAGACAACTTTCTTTCCAACTATGATTGTCCACGGCCAGGTCCCGGTCCTATTTTTTGGCGCAAATTGTTGTAAGTTCGGGTGACTATGATCAGTCGTTGATCGTCTTCAGGTATATCACGCTCCTGGAAAGAAAGAGAGAGAAAAAATACCAGTGATGTAAAGACAAATGGACAAATCAGTCAATAATCGAGATGTCAACTTACGGACAAACTTTCCATAATGTACAATTTGATTTAAGAATTTCGCCACATTCCTAGGAGGCAGAGCATAAACTTTGTTAAATCACATTCAGAGTTTCAAAGACAAATAAATGTGTTCCTCCCATTTAGAGTTCAATTCATGTTGCTTGTGCAGAGAGTGCGTCCAAGGCACAAAATTCTTGTTCAAATAACTACGGTGAAGCAAGGTCAGGAACGATAAATCACTTTATGATATACACATCCAGTTTGCAAGTTCGTTATATTACGGTTAGTTCCTACAAAGGATTGGGCTAATGACGTAACATAAACATTACTTGAATTCTCGATGTAGATGCTACATAGTTATTCTCATCCTTCAGAGACTACAAGCGTGCACCTCATAGAATGTTAGTTCTAAGACTGGCCTTCATGCAAAAGAATAGGTTTAGTTTCTCCCTCTATGATGGATTTCAAAATCAAAAATACATCCTTGATTGCCACCGAGAATTAAGCACCTAATTTCTAAGTTGTCTTAAAAAAATTCTGGTGATTATATCTCATTTCCCAAATAGCATCTCCAGCTTTAGTTTCCCAGGCTTGACAAGGGTTCCAACTTAATGCTCATCTTTGCCCTATTGTGTGCTCCTCATGCACAACTAGAAAAAATGTTAATTCTATGATGAAATACTAAATAAAGTTCTCAACCTTATCCAAATCCCTATTCAGACATGCTTAAGGATACTGATTTCCCAGAAAGATCCCCACTCCGTGGATACAGAAGCATTTAGCTGAATTGAAAATCTTGTGAACGATGTTTTCTTTTCCGGTATATTACAAATTGAAAATTGACGAGATTAAAATAAGTTTATTAATAAGGCAAGGAGACTCACTTTTAAGCCATTGTAGTATGCTTCAACAGCAGGGAGTGAAGGGATAATTTTACGAGCTTGCATCAGGTCCCATACGTAATTGGCCATGGTATATCCACCAGTCTGCAATAAATATGTAAATCTCAAAAAAACTGACCAACCTATTAGGGATAATAAAAACAAGTTTGAATACATAGCACCGCGAGAAATTAATGCTTTTTCTTTTGAAAAACTACCTTTTCACCGGCAGCTACAAGCAGGAGATCATTTCCCATTTTTGGGCTCAAGAAAAAGTCCCTCGAGGTCATATTTTCCTGGAGAAGGCAGGGGTATCATATCATGAGTGTAGATCAAAAAAATAATCAAAATATCGAGTAGTTCATAACAAATCAACAGCAAACCCAAACATACCAGCGTCTCAAGAGCAAGTTGCATTCCCTTGGGAGTATACCCCACCATTGCACCCTCTGCGAGAGTCTGCAGCCATGCAAGTTAAAGTCCATACACCAAATCTTGTTTTTTATGAAGTGTGAAGTCCAAATAACAACAATAAAAAAAAAACATAGCTTTTTCAAGGGAAAACAGTGTGCAATCCATTACAAAATAATAAAATAAGTAAAAATGAAGTCAAGGAACACAACACGAGCAGTCAGCAAGACATTTTAAAGAGTAACTAATAATTTCTATTTACAGGCACTTGCAGATTGGTAGTGGTTCCAGGTACATGCATATCCAGCCAATGTACTGAGCTTATTAAACAACAAAAGCAAGTTCGTTCTAAAGGCAGGAAAGGTTTAGGGAGAGCTTTCTGTAATTTTAAAAACCAAATCTGATTTGTAAACAAGCTTCAATGATAGCTCCTATGCAAAAGCAATACGATAGCACATTCAGCCTCTGTGAAAGAGGTGCATTGATAATCCTCAAATTGCACAAACACAGGGCAATGCCAATTAATTATAAGTTGGCATATCGGATATAGAACTCACCACATATAGTTCCACCATAGGTTGCTTCCCTGATTTCATGTATTCTTCAAAAATTTTCTGGCCACGTTCAATATCTCCAAAATGTAGATAACACCTGCAGAAAATGGCCGTTGACACTCATGAGGTTCAGTATTCTTCCAGTGAATGAGCATATTACTCACAGGAAAATATAGAAAACTTTCATAGAGAAAGCATAGAACAAAAGCACTAGATAGAGCACACAGCATAGGTTCACAAATAAACATTAGCAACCGAACTACTCTTGAAAAGAAGCAAGCATAAAAGATACATAATAATCAAAATGCTGAAAATAATGGTTAACAATATGTACCTCATAACTTGGATCAGAATAAAGACATCAGGAGTTTTATTGTCCCTTCTGAGCAATTCCAAAAGTGTTTCCATTACCTATTATGATGAACAAATATCAAAAGTTAGCACATAATTAATGGAGAAAAAATTAAAACAAAAATGATGATTTGATTGTTTCGTCAAATTATAAATCTAAAATCAGAAAGGGAGACAACAAATGCTACAATAGATAGTTTAAAATAAGTCCCATTTCGATAATCAAATGTTCAAAAAATTAAACATTCAGCATCCTCAGCCAATTTTCTAGATGTGATTCTTCCATTTCATCTGATTCTTTGAACATGCTGTGCTAGACTTCAAAATGGTATCAGTGACGTTGGGGAGTGGTCAGCTATCTTTCAAAGCATGAAGTTAACCCAACCTAACGGCATAAAAGGGGTCATCCTAGAGTCAAACATGGAAGGGGTTCTAAGTAAGGTAGTGAACCATGGTGCTTCACAGTCTACCCATATCTCCTGCATCTAGTTGAGCCATGCCACCACATATTTCTGAACAGATTGAAAGCACAGGGAAACTATATCTGGGACTCTAGCCCTACATTTGTCCCCACATTTGGGGTTTCTTAGTTTGGGCTAAAAATCATTTGGTGATGATGTAATAAAGTCTCAATTCAAGAGCATAAAATTTGAGGTGGTACCTCTACATTTCTGAGGTCTGCACAGGCATGAAATGCAACATGATAAACAGTTAACTCCCTATGCAGGAATCCAGAACGCCTATGAACGTATTCCGCAGTGGGGGTATTATATAACTCTTCTTCAGAAATACCCATCATAAAGTTTTCAGCATTGTCTCTTGATCCTTCAACTGAAGACCACCCCTTGGACTGCTCAACAAGCTCGATAATCTTTTCCAGAAAGGGGAAAATAATAAATGATTTAGGAACTAAAGAAATAATTATCTAACGGACACAAAATATATATATACAAAAATAAAATTGGTAATTACTTTGGTGGCTGTATCATCAGTTATTGGAGTCTTATTCTTATGTGCAGCAATAAGTCCAGCATAGCAAAACTTGTTTAAACCAAGACCAGCTGCAGTCATATCACGAACAATTGCATACCTGTAATATCAAGATAGGTCAATCTAGCTACTATTTAAGACGGGATAAACGTAGGGAAAATCCACTGTCCACAAGCCAAATTATATGTAGGACACAACTTGAAGGAGGGATTATCAGGCTTCATTCACGAAGGCCAATCATAAGCTCATACCAAAAAAAAAAACCTTTGAACCTCTCTTAAGAATATAAACCTGTATAGAGTAGAGAATTTGAAAGTAGTTTGTTTATAAAAACAAAAATCTAAAATGATAATGGAGGTAGGCCTATAAGTAACTCCAAAATAAGATATATAGATCCAAATCAGATAAAAATAATTAAAAAAATTTATCACACAAGATTATTAGCTAGCAATCAAAACGACCACAGTTTTCGTCATATGGTAAACATGTCAGAGATCCACCCATGTTATGATGCATGAGATCCAATTAACAATTGTCTTCGACTATGTGGTCTTCATCCGACAAATACCAGCATGGTAAAATAAAACAAAAGGGACATATTTAGACCATGGAATTGATAGCATACACTCGATCTAATCGTCCAGCAGCTGCACATGAATTCAATAGACAGATATAGGTTTGTCCAGTAGGTTTGACTTCATATCTCCTCATTTCTTCAAAAATCTTCAACTCAAAGTAAAACAAAAGAAATATCAATTAAATGCATAGTGCTAATTTTATTATAAAAGAGAAATATAATAAGGTTTAACTAATTAAGGGTGAACCAAACCTGAATTGCCTGCTGAGAATTCTTGCATTTCCCACAAGTCGAAATTAAGAAGTTGTATAAAGCAGCCTATGACAAAAATAAACACCGTATGATCATTAAAACTTAGAGGGGTTACTCAAATAGGTAAATGCGACTGAAACTGAACAGAAACATAAAAAGTTAAAAATAACTATATGAGAACCTTTGGATAATTTTTTTGGCACACCTAATGGACTTTGGCCAAACTTCACAAAATTGCCCTTCTGGCTCACTTTAGAGAAACACTAGATGATTGTCCTTTTTTGTTCTCTTCCGAAGGCTAAATTGTCTCATCGTGTTAAAATGTACCAAAACCTACTACTACACCTACTCCACCCACTTCACCTACTCTCCACCTACTCCTCACCTACTACACACTCACCCTCTCCTATATATAGGAATCATTGTAAACATAACAAATACCTATCAATAATACATCTATTTCTTACATGGTATCAGAGCAATAAGATTTAGGCCTATACTCCTTTCTTTCCGGCGGGCAGCCGGCCGGCAACCTTGCCTTCGCTGCCCGCTGGAGTTTTTCAACACATACCACAAACACATACCAGAAACTCTTCTTTCTTTGTTTCCTCATCTTCATCACTCTCAGTTTCCTTCTTCGAAGCCTCACAACAATGTTGTATCTTCTGCGTTTCATCCCACCACGAGCGTCAAGGAGCTTCTCGCATGCCCTGTTTGTACCAATTCAATGAACCCTCCTATACACCAGGTCTTCAATTGTTTTGGTCAGTATTTCTGTCTCCATTTTTTGAAGCTTTTCAGCTTGGGATGGCTCCTGTTTATATGGCGTTTCTGCGGTTCATGGGAGATGAGACAGACGCTCGAAGCTACAGTTATAGCCTTGAGGCTGAGGGATAGTCACAGGAAGGGCGAATATGGAAGGAACAACAGAACCTGGATATGGTTCTCGGAACCAAAATAATGATTGCTCCTGAGAGAAACCTTCTACGAAGTCTTGCATCCGTTGTCAATATAAACTCCGCAGGCAGTTTCTCCAGAAACACCGGATTTCGTGTCTTGTTATTTAAACAAGGTCTTTTGAATGGCAAACGCTCTTCAAATCCATTTTTGACAATCGGCCACAAGTCGCTCACATCTTCAACAGCAATTACGAGGTGATCACAAGAATTCTTTATACTCTGGAACTGAGCCAAGAAATTCACCATGATCGATCTCAGTAGCAGTATCGGTGTCTGCGGTTCTTGTCTCCCGGAACGACTCTTTGCCCTAATCACAGCTCAAGCACAAGTCCAATCTCAAATTCGAGCTCAACAATTCCATCTCGAACAAGAAGATCGCCGGAAAACTGATCCTCTTCCACCGCCTCTCGTTTTCCCTCGATCGGCATCACCACCGCCGTCGCACAGCACCCATATAAGATGCAATTTTCTCATGGAGAGGCCGTCGTCGGTCAAGCTCCCAAGGCGGAGACGGTCCACCAAGTTGTTGTCGAAGCCCTTGGGCTCTCTCTCTTCGGTGGCCACCGCCAGAATCGGAAGAGAGTTGACTGTGTGAAAATCCTCACCCATTCTTCTATATCTATACATATCTATATCATATCTCTCCATTATATATTAATTAAGTGTTTAAATACCCTACACACCACCTCCACCCACATGGGTTGGTTCTCACTTTTCATCATCAGTATTTACACATAAAACCTTCTCTCCACTCATTCATTTTATTATTATTATGCACACTCAGAATCCACAATTCATGTGCACTTTTTTTCTTTTATTCTACTTTTTGACCCATCATTCCACCACCTCTCTCTTTTTTTTTTTCTAAACCATATTTTTGTACCACCGCCCACTCCATGATATCCATTTTTTATTATTCTTATTATTATTACTATTATTCTTCTTAAAAATAAAAAAAAATAATAAAATAAAATAAATACCAAACACCATTGCAAACAATTTACAAATTTGCACAACCAACCATATTTTATTCATCTCAGGAAACAACCCCGATCACACTTTTACACATACAAAAAAAAAAAAAAAAAAAAAAAAAAAAAAAAAAAAAACCATTTACCAATTTGCACAACAAACCATATTTTATTCATCTCAGGGGGTCACCCCGATCCACATTTTACACCACAACCAAAAAAACAAAAAAAACAAAACAAAACAAAAAAAAAAAACAAAAACAAAAACAAAAAAACCACACAAGATCACCATCACAACAACAACAGATTTGTTTTCTTTTCTGCAGACGGCCACCCACCGACCTACTCTGCCGCCGGTCTCTTCTTTTTGCCTCCGTCCTGAGCGGCCCTTGACGGTGTTGCCTCCGTGCTTCCTCGACCACCAAGCCAATTGCCTCCTCCCTGCTCCTCCACTCCCGCATCTGGTGGCCCTCCAAATCGGAACATCACGGTGGCCTTCCGCTTCAGCTCCTTGTTTTCTGCCCTTAGCACGCTTATCTCTGCTCGCGCATCCTTATACATGCGTTGGAGCAACATTAATTCCGGTTAGCTCCTTTATGGGTTCGACAAGACTCTGTAAACTGTCCCGACATTAATTCCGGTTAGCTCCTTTATGGGTTCGACAAGACTCTGTAAACTGTCCCGACATTAATTCCGGTTAGCTCCTTTATGGGTTCGACAAGACTCTGTAAACTGTCCCGACATAGATTCCGGTTAGTTTCTACATGGGTCTGACAAGACTCTGTAAACTGTCCCGACATTGATTCCGGTTAGCTCCTTTATGGGTCCGACAAGACTCTGTAAACTGTCCCGACATTGATTCCTGTTAGTTTCTACAAGGGTCCAGCAAGACTCCGTAAACTGTCACAACATGGTCTGCTACAACGGTCCGACATGACCCCATAAACTGTCTTCTACATCGGTCTACCATAACCATACAGTCTTCTACAACGGTCTGACACGACCATACAGTGTCTCCTATCCTTTTTTATTTTATGTATTCGTCTATTTTCTTGTTTTGTTAGTCTCTCCAAACTCAAGTTGGTTAGTTCCTATCCCCCTTGAGTTTGCGGGGGGCTGTTAAAATGTACCAAAACCTACCACTACACCTACTCCACCCACTTCACCTACTCTCCACCTACTCCTCACCTACTCCTCACCTACTACACACTCACCCTCTCCTATATATAGGAATCATTGTAAACATAACAAATATCTATCAATAATACATCTATTTCTTACACATCGAAATTGCATAATAAGGAAAATAAACAAATGGAAGGTTCATGCCACACCAGACTTGAAGTTTGCATCATGTTGCATTTGTTCCCCATCCAAGAGGTTATTCTTTCTCCTTTCCATTTTAAAGTTAAATAAAAAATAAGAAGAAAGAAAAAATCCTCAAGTTACACCTAGAATTCAGTAATATATTCAACTTATAAGAGCATCTCCAACCACACTCTTTATTTTTCACTAGCCAAAGTATAAAAAAATGACACTCTTTATTTTACCTAATTAGTTTAGCTATTGTGTGTTTCAACCATACTCTTTATTTTAGCTAGTCATTAAAACTAATTTAACCAATTTTCAAAACAAAAAATGCCATATATATATTACTCTTTTTCATAGAATGCCACATATGCAACTACTCTCTAATATGGTTGCCAATGTGACACTTGCGATAATATTTTTAAAAATAATATTTTTTAATTTTAGTTTTAAAAATATTATAAAAAATAATTTTAAGTAATATTTAATTTTTTTTTATTATAAAATTTATAGTATGTGAATATATTTCAACATATGAATTTGGTGGAACCATCTTGAAAGGGAAGGGAGGGGAAGAATAAAAGAAAACAATAAAGAATTTTTAAAAAAAAAAAAAACAATACAAAGGAAGTTTTTCAATAATTGTAATTTATCAAATTAAGAACCGAAAGAACACAAATTAACTAATCAAAAACCTTACGATGGTCAATGAATAAATAAGAAAAAAAATCATAAATAGCAAAGTTAGGAATAAACTTCAAAATAAATAAACTATTTCTAACACTCTCACACTCTTAGCCAATATGCCTTTGATTTTTGTTCATTCCCTTGCACTAGATCTAAACTAATGTTAAGCCATGCTGATATAAGCATACTGTCTTCTTCTGTAGTGAAGTTGCCACCTCGTTATGATTTCTTGGTGGTTTCTATTTGAGGAGAGATTGGGGAAGACTGATCCCCTTGGTCAAAAGGTTCATCTATTTCATAGTCAGTCCCATCATTCATCAAGTTGGTGAAATATGCACCATTTTGTTGTTGATTCATCTATAGACAAAGTAAAGAAAATTATGGCAACATATATTGGGTTGGAGAAATAGAATCCCAGTTGGAAGCAAATTAATTAATAAATGGAGATCATGTAAATTAAAACACTAGTTGTTTTGTTGAAAATGATTCAATGATAATTTTAAATAAATAAATGGAGATCATGTAAATTCAATGAAAAAGGATTCAATGATAGTTGCAACCAACTCTCTAATGATATATAACAAGAGCTCTAATTCTGCCAACATTCTATCAAGCTATATATTATAAAACTAATATACACTCCAAGCTTATTCTATCAAGCCTATATATTATAAAACTATATACACTCCATGTTACTTTCATAACATTCTATCAAAAAATAGGAAAACCTGACAGCAAAAATGAATTCAGGCATTTTTTCCTTGCTAATGGGAATTACCTCACTAATTGAATGACAATAGTGGATATATATAAGAATATGAATCAACAAAATCACCTACATCTTCAAAAATGTAATATAACCATGCCATATTTAAGTATGCACAAGTGTGCAGACATAACATCTTATAATGCTAATTTTCACTATAAATATTTCAATGTGTAAAAATCAGAATTCTATTAAAAACATAAACTAATGGGACTCGATACTACACAGCAACATATGGGGCATCTCAATTAAGCATAGCTCTAGTCTACAACCACATATAAGAGACGAAATCATGATCACTCACAATAATGGGAGTCAATACCAACGAAGCTACATATGCAGATATCTTTCTTGCACTCGTAACCATAATGTTTC